ACCACATTGAACTATTTCAGTAGATTGTCCCTTGCACTTTACCTTACTTCTTGTTGATGGCCCACCACATTGAACTGTTTCAGTAGATTGGCCCACAACACCTCCACATTTGACCCTTATCCTGATTTTATCATTTTTTTGCTAAGTATAGGGACCTCCTTGTATTTACAGCATGTGCATGCATGTAGTCCACAACTTCCTTCTTTGTTTTGAAACACTGCCCCACCCTATATGGTTTTAAATGGATCTCCCCATGTGAGCATGGAGTTGACCTACTCAACTCCTTAAGCATTTTTGTCCTTTCAGCTTCATTAAATCCTGCATACTGATAATCATCACTTTGAATAACTTCCAACTCTTCATCAACTATGTCATTACCTATACTTTCAGTTTGCTTGTTTAAAATTCCATGTTCATCTACATCCACATGACTTTGGAATTCACTCATGTCTACATCCACATCAAATTGCATGTTAGACTCATGTACAATGTAGTCACTATCATCAGAATCATCTGCACTATAATCAAAACCATCTTCATTCTCACTATAGAAAGCATCTCCACTATCATCACTTACCATGCCCTCTAGAATTTCCATTTCTACTTGATTGTCTTCACCATTCGGTACACTGTACTCAGCATCAAATTCAACATAAGTTGAATAATCATCTGTAAGTGCTTCAAATTCATAAAGTCTTACAATTTGTTGTCCATCAATATCTTCAGAAATTGGTTCCTCTGCAAGATTGCCTAAATTGCTCTTACACACTTCTTCTATGTGGCCCATGATCAATCCTTCATTCACATCAATGACATTACTTCGTTGGCTAACTTGAGGCATAACATATGGAACAATAGTCTTTGAATGATCCTGACTTTCATCCATATCTATTACCTGTGACTGGTCAACAACATGGTTGGCAGGGGGGTCTAACTTAAGCTTTTTACTACACGATCCTACTTCTCTTCTACAAGGTTTTTTTCTATTAAGTTCCGGTGACACACTCTCAGGTTCCAGTTCCTCGATAACAACTTTAGAAGGAGACTTAAAATAACTAGCTACCCTAGTCTGACCAATTTCAATATAGACCTTTACAAGTCTGTGCTTAGGGACATACGGAACCAATTTAAGAACATCTTGGTCATTCCCTAAAGGCAATAACCCGTAGTCTAAGGGAAATTCAGGGATACAGAAATGGTAGTAAAGAGTTTGTTCACCTTTGTACCCTAATTCTCGAACCATGTCATCGAGTTCATGGACTGAAAATAAATCAGTGTCAACGTCATCTACGTATGATACACTACCATCGACGTATTTCCTTCCAAGTGACTTGGTGAAGACACCACTATAGTGTATCTTCAACGTAAAATAGTTATCATATCCCTCTACAAACATAAAAATAGAAAGGATAAAGAAGATGATTTATCTTCACAAATACATTCAAGGAAAACAAAAACTTCAGTTTTTTTTTTTTTATGAAAAATCTTACCATATCTCGATTGCAAGTCCTTCAAGCACACATTTTTTTCACGCAAACACCATATTGACAGAACCATTGTCCTTTGGTGCTGTGTAAACCCTAAACCCCAATTTCGATTCGAGGATAAGAGTGATCTATTGAAGACGAAGTCACTGTGCTCTTGGGAGATGAAGAGTGTTTGGGAGTTGACGTGAAGAAGACAGTGGCATAATCATTTCCCTCAATAAAGAAGAGGGCACAGGTGAAAAGACCGATTTACCCTTATATTATTTTAATGAAATAAGGGTTAACAGTGGGATTCTAACGGTGTGAGGGACAAGGACCACCTGTCAAAAGTTTTGAAAGCATAGGGACCAACTATGAGATTTTTAAACTACGGGGACTAAACTTCAAAATCTGGGAAAACACAGGGACCATTTATGATGTTTTTTCTATATATATATATATATATATATATATATATATATATATATATATATATATATATGTTCAGATTTATTTGAGACCATTATAATTTTATGAAACCGTGAGATCAAATCTAAAAATAATTTTAAAATGCAAAATAAATAGAAAAATCCAAAAAAAAAAATATTATTTTTGGAACTTGAATTAACAAAAAAAAAAATCTCGTTTTTTTTTTTAAAAATACATGAAATATTGTAATAGAATATTACACTCACATATTCTAAAAAATAATTTTAAATTGCAAAATAAATGGAAAAATCTAAAAATTCTTTTTTTAAATATTATTTTCGGAACTTGAATTAACTAAAAATAAAAAAAATAAAACAAATAAACCAAAAATCCCGTTTTTTTTTTTTTTTAAATACGTGAAATATTCTATTAGAATATTCCACTGACATATTCTAAAAAATAATTTTAAATTGCAAAATAAATGGAAAAATCTAAAAATTGTTTTTTTAAATATTATTTTCGGAACTTGAGTTAACTAAAAAAATATAAAAAAAATCTTATTTTTTTTGAAAAATACGTGAAATATTCTAATAAAATATTATACTGTACATATTCTAAAAAAAATTTAAAATGCAAAAAATGGAAAAATCCAAAAAAAAAAAATTTAATATTATTTTCGGAACTTGAATTAACTAAAAAAAATCCCATTTTTTTTAAAATACGTGAAATATTCTAATAAAATGCAAAATAAATGGAAAAATTCAAAAATTTCTTTTTTTTAAATATTATTTTCGGAACTTGAATTAACTAAAATAAATAAATAAAAAAAATACGTATTACGGCCTCATAAAATTAGGCCGTTTCACGTGAACCTATAATATATATATATATATATATATATATATATATATATATATATATATATATATATATATATATATATATATATATATATATATATATACACTCCAGGAGAATAACTCTCAACGTGATAAACACCCATAACCCAGGAAAGCTAAAACACAGCCATGAATGTAGAAGAAGAAGTTGAAAAACTCAAAGTAGAGATCCAAAGACTCGGCAGTAAGCAAGACGATGGCTCTTACAAGGTAATTTTCTTTTCCCCTCAATTTTCGGAGAAAATTCCTCTAAATCCGCCTCCTACTTCTGGATTTACATAATAGTGTTTCATATTCCCAAATTGGTATGGATCTAGTCTCATACCTCTTACTATCGCCGATCTGTGATGAATTTCTGTCGCGATCTAATTCAGTATTGAACAATCCGATAAATTAGGGCTTCGATCTATATAATGAGCTGAAATTGGCCATGTTTAAAACCTTGAGAATTAACAATCTACCAATGGATATACGATCTCAAGCAGCCGAGCTCCTGATGTTTTGCAATTCGATCTTGTCATATCTGTTTCTCGATAATAAAGTTCGATTTTCATCCGATTTATTGTCATTAAATCTGTTGAATGTTGATGAAGGTGACATTCGGTGTGCTCTTCCACGATGATAGATGTGCGAACATATTTGAAGCATTGGTTGGGACATTGAGAGCAGCGAAGAGGCGTAAATTGTTGACATATGATGGTGAATTGCTTCTTCAAGGTGTTCATGATAATGTTGAAATTGTTCTCAAACCCACTCCCACTCCCACAGCAGCAGTATAATCGATCGCTTCAAATGTTTTTATCACTGTTATGTTCTTGTATCATTTATCATAATTTGTGTTTGTAACTTTGTATTGTAATCTGTGCTTCAAAACTGATCAAATTCCAATCTGTTATCATCTTGTATACTCAGAACAACTTTTGAAAATTTGTCATTACAATCAAGCTTTTTTATCTTGTACTTTGTCATGGTTTCCATACTTATATCAAGATTCCACATGCATTTTTTTTTGGAAAGAATTGCTATAAGCAAAGAAGCTGAAAATCCAAAGGTCTGATATTTTGAATTTTGTCACATATATATTGTTTGGTAAAAAATGAAATGAAAGTCAATTACATTCTTTTGTATATATCTATTCGATTTGTAATTATGTAAAAGCCAAATTCCAGTAGCCTTAATATATTTTGTCACGTATTATGTTTTTTTTTCTTAGGATGTCTGAACTGAACAAATCCCAAACTATAGAATTTAAAATTGTATATAATATTTTAAAAAATGGAGTATATATCAAAATCTAAATGGTTAAATAATAATAAAGAAAGTTAAACCCAAAAAAATCCAAACTAAAACGGTTTTTATAAATTTGGGCATTTCATAAATCGCAAACTTGTCCTTTTATTAACCTTTTGTTGGCAGGCATTTTTAAATACTAGTACAAATACTAAAATTGACTTTTTAATAATTCTTTGTTCTTCAAGAAAAAAGAAATCAAATAGTTATTAGTTAATGAATACTTATGTAAATTTAAAGAAGGATGAAAGAATAAAAACTTAATTCCGTAAGTTTTAGCATGATTCTTAAAAGGAAGGCGACTATTCTATTTTAAAAAATTTGATTCATTCATAAAAATTACATGTTTTAGTAATGTGTACGATAGCTGTAAAAAATGTTGTATCCATATAAACGAATCAATTTTTTAAAGTCGAAGTATTACGTAAATTCCAAAAATATGTCATGGCAGCAAAAAGGCATAACATCAATGTCCAAAAAAAAAATACAAGCCATATTTTTTTATTTGTCTTTTTTATCGGCATAAAACCTTTTGAGTTTTTATACAGTATTTATTTGTTGTTAGTAATTGTTGATATTGCATTTGATGTAAATCTACAGACAGTGGTGTTCTCCTAACACTTTTACAGCCAAACAAAAGAATTTACCAGAGTTGAATTCCAATTTTACTATTAGTTCCTCTACTTCGCCTACAAACAATGGTATACTCCTACATACTACATAAAAACCAAAAGATTGTGCACGCATTTCTAAAATAACTCACCCATATAAAGATCATGAACCCACCAAAACCACATAAAAAAAACACAATACAAATACATCCTATCCATTCACAATAACACACCAATTAAAAAAAACATACATGACAACCAAACAATGTCACGTGATGATGTTCCCTTGGTTAGCCTTCGGTCACATGCTCCCATTTCTCGAACTCTCCAAAAAACTTGCCTCACATGGTATCAAAATCTCATTCGTTTCCACCCCAAAAAACCTCAAAAGACTACCTTCAATTCCCACGAATCTTTCAACCAACATCAAACTAATCGAAATCATATTACCAAAAGTCAACGGTCTACCTGAAAACTGTGAGGCCACCATTGACATCCAACAAGAAGAAACACCTTATTTAAAAAAAGCCCACGACAACTTACAACAACCATTTGAAAAAATACTCGAAAACGATCCAGATCCACCGGATTTTATTTTTATAGATTTTTCTTCATTTTGGGTCCCAAAAATTGCCACCAAGTTCGGGGCGAAAACCGCCTTTTTTAGTGTGTACACTGCCGCCACTCTGGCGTACATGGGCCCACCGGAGGAGCTGAGGTGGGGGCATAAACGGAAAACTCCGGCGGCATTCACGGTGGCACCGGAGTGGTTTACTTTCCGTTCCACGGTGGCTCACCGGCCGGATTATGCTCCGACGATGCTCCGGAACTTACACGTTCCGGATGCATCCGGAAAGTCAAGCGGTCAACGAATAAGTCAAGTAATCGAAGAATCCGAGTTTGTAATAATTCGAAGCTGTAAAGAGTTCGAGGGGGAGTACATCGATCTTCTCGAAAATCTTTATAAAAAGACAGTTTTGCCCTTGGGGGTACTTCCACCAGAGAGAAAAAAAGAGGATGTAAACGAGTCAACTTGGTTGACAACTTTTAAATGGTTAGACGCGAAAAGGGCAAAATCGGTACTTTTTGTCGGATTCGGGAGCGAGTATAAAATGCCGGTTGAACAAATCCACGAGTTGGCCCACGGAATCGAGCTTTCGGGGGTTTCTTTCATTTGGGTTTTGCGGAAGCCGAAAGAGGTGGGTAGTTTGGACATTTTACCTAAAGATTTTGAAAGTAGAGTGTCTGAGAGGGGGGTGATTTGTCTTGGGTGGGTCCCACAAATGGAGATATTGGCGCACCCTTCGATCGGAGGGTGTCTTTTCCACTCGGGATGGGGGTCGATTGTTGAGAGTTTAGGGTTTGGGCACCCGTTGATTCTTATGCCTATGGTGGCTGACCAAGGGCTTAATTGTAAATTGCTTGTGGAGAAGGGAATTGGGTGTGAAGTTGAGAGAAATGAAGATGGGTCGTTTAGGAGAGAGAAGGTGGCGGAATCAGTGAAGTTGGTAATGGAATCGGGAGAAGGGGAATGGATTAGAAAAAAGGGTTTGGAAATGAAAAATGTATTTGGGGATGAGAGTCTTCATGAGGGTTATATTAGTTCGTTTGTAAGCTACCTAAATAGGTTCAAAACAACCTTATAATATATTTATTATCCTTTCAATCCAAGAATTTAAAAAAAAAAAAAAAAAGTAATAAAAATATTATAATTTTATTTTCCCCATAACTTATATATACATTAAAAGTAATTGTGGTACCATTATTCCTCCATTAAGTAATTGTGGTGCCATTAAAAGTCTACTTTATAGCTACTGTACATGAAATAAATGCAGCATTGCTACAAAATGCCATGGCTGCATTTGTCGATGGAATAGTGGCTACAGTGAATAAAGGTCAAAGCAAGTGATAATACACTTTACTCATCCATTCATATGACTCCATAGGGGATGGAAATCATCTCACACTACAAAAGGGTAAACCAAAACTTTGATCAGAATTATGATAATAGTGATTTTGAGAATATCCCCTAAAAAAAAATTAAGTTTAAAAAGCTTACCTGTAAATCTGATTCAATGTTAAAACTTCTTGTGTGAAAACTGTCTTAATTCTGCAGCCTTAACTGATTAAAGAACACCAAGAAATGATATTCAGGTGCCCAATATACAAATCCAACAACAGGACCTCCTTTAATATACTGCAAAAACATCAATAAACAAGAAGATTTCAGAATTAAATAATTAATAACTATTTCACACACAAAAAAAAAACTACATATTATAATGAAGATGGAAGAAAAAAAGGTGAGACCTTTCCATCAAGAATTACAAGTTCGCCATCAACCCATCTGGGATTTTGAAATCCCGGATCTGCAAGCCTACCTTGACCTCGATATCGAGCAATCTGAATAAAAAAAATATAAATTTAGAATTTAAGATATAAAGTATAGAATTAGGGGATTCCATAATTTGAATTTATAAAAACTTGCCACTCCAAATTCTTCAGGAATGATCCCTTTATGAGGAAGTTGATACTTCGTTCCAACTTTTGCACGAAACGCCACCTGTCACAATTAAAAAAATGGTATAATGTGAAAAGGAAAAAAAAAAACTATCAACAATTGAAAAATAAATTTATTTACCTGTCCAGCTGGCACATAAGCATCCCCTGTTAACTTAACAGCTTCTACATATTCATAAAACTCAAGATTTGAAAGCTCTTTCATGCTGCCTTCTTCTTTCCACTGACCAAATTTACGCCTTAATTGAATCACTTCTGAAGTGTAAAGCCCATGTGAACCAACGTACAATGCTAAAAAAAAAAGTAGTTGTGATTTAGTAAGAATAAATTATGAAATAAGATAATGAATAAAATATAATGGATAATACCATTTAATGGATCTTTATTTGTTGGAAGCTCAATTCGGTTAAATGTTGTGGATCCAGATAAAGGTTGACGATTTTTAGCACGGGTAAGTGTAAGATTAATCAACTGGCCAACATCTTTAAGCACCTGTAAAATGTTTTATAAAGATTATATATTTTGACAAAAAGTCAAAAATACCCCCCTTGTTTTACCCTATTTTAGTAATCTGACTGACCTTCATGGGTATCTTTCCTTTTCCAATTGATTTGGCAAGATCAAGCATAATGCTGTCTGTGCTACGATTACCATGGATTTTAACATCTTTTTTCTTTAAAGATTGTGAATTTCCAGAGGACACCTGTTGTTTTTCTTTCTCTAAAGAAAAGGAAAATGACGAACGTGTCCTTTTCTCAAGCTTAGCTGGCACACGGATCAAATCTTTACGAGGGGTATTACTGGATATCTTTTGTACTAAGCCACCAACTACAATCTTGACTGCAATTTGACTTTTTCCTTCATCAAGATTGTCTTGTTCTTCACTGATTCCGTTTTTTACTTCATCTCCTCCATCTATGTCTTCCAACTCAGACTCTTCATCATCATCATCATCTTCTTCTTCTTCCTCCATTTGTTCAACCACTTTAGATATCAAATCCCTGTCTATTTTTCCTGGTGTTGTTACATTCAGGACTTTGACTTTTAGATCTTTTGCACCAGGTATCATGTCTCTCAAGATGTTTTCAAATGCAGATTCTTCAGCCATGTCAGCATCATCATCATCTGTATCTTCAATATCTTTTACAAAAAGATCATCTTTTTCTCCCATTGTGTCTGATGGATTCATGGTACTGATGAAACCTGATGACTTTGAGGATACAACTGGAAATTTTTGGGGAACTTCATTTCGTTTCAAGTATACAGCCTGGTATCTGTATTCTCCATGCTCGTTTGTTGTTAGAAAAATTTCAAACAATGGAGCTCCATCTGCAGCAGTGGCAAGCTGCCTGAAAGTCAAAGAAATGGTCAAACCTTCATCACTTACTCTCTGAGATAACTAAATAACTTGTTACTTTACCTGGGACTATAACTTCTTGCTAAGTATCTTCCATGCTCTGCACTTATACGTATAATTCGACCATATGGATCTTTGCTATCATCAGAAAGTCCAGCCCACCATCCCACCTAAATTGGGAATTGAATAGCATGATTGTTCAATAAGCAAAAGCATGTAAATAAGTTGAATGTAATTCAAAATGTTCAGGAACTCACCAGACCTGCACTAGCATAATCTCTTACAAATGCTGCATCCATGTATCGTTCTTCCTCTATGGCTTTCTGCAAAGTTAGAAAGGTCGACAGATAAGGAATAAATGTGATAATCCTTGATTTGAAGAATAATAACGTTCTCTTACTCTCATGTAAGACATCACTCTGCCAACAGTGTCGTTAGTAGCAGCAGCTGCAATTGCGACCTTAATCCTGGCAGCATCGTCATAGTCCTCTTTGGCAATAGCACGATTTAGATGTGACTGTGATGATGATGATATACATGTCAATGTATGAAGGTTATTGTAGCAAGAGTTATCATCTTAATTTCTGATACTATGCTCTCTATTAGTTTACAGAAGTACCTTCAATGTAGAAACGATACGTTCCTGCTCATCGACATCAGTGAAATGCTTCTGCCAGCGTTCCCAATCCCATTCTGTATCGCCATCTCCATCCACCACGACCTCTCCTTCTATCTTCACAACACCAACACCAGAATCAGCCTTCTTCAATTCATCGTCTTTCATCTGATACTTCCGATATCCAGTCATGTAATCCTCAAACCACTTAATCGCATTCCTGACATTCTCTTGAAAAACCGAGTCCCATCGACGATTATCTTTATCATTATCGTTGTTGTCACCGATATCTCTGTTACTAACGCAACGACAGATGGATAAAGGATCGGAAACCCTAGATAGAGAGTGAGAAAATAGATTCGTTGAATAAGAGGCACGGTGGTTCAATCGGCTGGTTGTGGTAAACTTAGGGGTTGTGTAGGTGAATTTGTGAGGGCTTGTAACGGAGCTACCGGCGGAGGAACGGAACGTCGGCGGTGATATTGACGCCATTAATGAGAGCTAGAGACGATGGTATCGTCGAATTTGGTTACACGATAGGGGCAGCACAGTGATGATACAAAGATGGGGTTAGGTTTTTCCAGAATCGAAATTGCTGATATCCGATTTGATGTACGATTTTTGATGCACGATGTACAAATATTACTGCATGATTGTTCTTAGTCTATGAGCATCCAAGAGCGGATAGAGATGCTGTGGGTTTACGACCGGTTTTTCTTTCAGATGTCGTCATTGCCGATAACCGGTCTATCGATAACATGTTTTTTGTGATTTTGAATTAAAAAGTGAGTGTAGGAATTTTGACAAAATATCTATCTATGTCTATCTAGAAAGTGTTAGATTATAGGTATAATTGGTGTAATTAATTGTTAGATGGAAATTGGAAGCTAGTATCTATCGGTAGATGATAAATAGTAGTTGAAAGTTGTAATTTTTATTTATACATAGTGTTTGATATAAATAATTGTTAGCTTTTATACGTGTAAAATTATTTAAAAATTAAATATTAAAAACTTCGAAAAATTAAAAGTTTCCCAAAACCATCTAATTCACTCATGATGTCAAACATAGTTTTTTTTAAAAAAAATATAAACTAAAAGCTCATTCAGTCAATCAGTCAGTAAGTCAAACAATGTTTATTTTTTTATGTTTTTTTAAAAGGTAAAAGATAAAAACCCAAAAAAGCTCCCAAAACATCTATATCAAACAAATTGTTAAAGTAAAAACTTTAGCTATTGAAAGTTGGTTGTCAAATATGGCTATAAATTGTTTCAATCTTCAAAATATAGTTCTAGCCACCTGGTTCCCTCAATTTTACTCTTGAATATTTTAAAATATACATATGAATGATGTCATTTATCATTACTTACTTCCTAATCCCACTCCTATACACACAAACCAAAACAAAATATAGTCAAACAAGGCTAATTGCATTTTAGAGACCACATGTTCCCTTACGGTCTTTTTTTTTTTTTTTTTTTTTTCATTTTACCTAAATCATTTAGTGCTGAATGATACCAAATTTTTAATGATTTAAAGGAAGTAAGATTTCTTAACCGTTCAAAGGCCATTAGAGCTTTTGATTTGTTCAGAGGTCAAACTAAATCAATCACACTAAATGCTAACTTGTTCAAACGTTACGTTTTAATATTTCCATTAAAAGGTTATCAAACAACCCTTTTACCCATATAACATTTGAAAAAACCAATAACTATATGTTATTTTTGCAATAATTATAAGGGATATAGGTCTCACGTTTTATTTGATTAAAATAATATTTTTTTAATAATCACATGTTAACATTATCACCAAAGTATCTAATTATTTATTCACCGGTTATTTTATTTGTTTATATTTTTTAGAAACATATAATCAAAAACATAAAATAAATGTGTTGTCATATAAAAGCAAAAGGTGTTTGGCAATAAGCTTTTGAGAGCTTTAAGAACGTGAAGCTAAAAAACTCAATTTAATATAAAAAGCTTCATCTAAAAGCTCGAAGTTAAAATACCTAATTCAAAAGATACTTCAAATAAGGTTAAAAGAAAAGCTCAACGTCTATTATAACAAATTACTAGGTTGCCTTAAATACCTACTTTCCATCTTTTAGTTACCAGCTATTTTAGCCAAGCATAATCGATGCATGCCTTCAG